CACACACACACACACACACACACGCCCGCCCTTAACAGGCATACTACTCCAGTTCCCAAGATTTGCATCCATTTTTCTGAGCACTCAAGTTGTGGCTTATTATCTGAGGCAAAATTCCCTCAGGGCTTGCTCTTCAGCAGTAACAGATCAGTGAGTGAAATGAAAGTACATGAAACAAAGGTTTCCCAAAAAGATCCTCCTTCTGATAGAAAAGAGGGCTTCTCTCCTGGACAGCTCCCCATCCTGTCCTGGCTCCTTCCCCAGATAGTGTCTCTGATACTTAGCTTCCCTGCCTTCTCCACCACGCAGCTTCCTCAAGCTGCCCTGCACTCTCTCATCAGGCCCTTGCCTCAGGGGATTTTCCCATCCAGATGAAATTAATTTTGTTCTTACAGAAAGAGCAACAGAAAAGTTCTGAAAGGCTTTTTAGTTTTTTAGAGAGAGATTAAGTTTTTCCCAAGAGAAAGAAAGACCATCAAATTTCCCCCAAAACTTCTGTCTTCTGAGCTTTGGTTTCAGTGGTCAAGAGGAAACTAATTCTGTTGGTAAGGTGTTGCACTGCTGACAGAATCCACCTCAGGGACAATTCCCCCCTTCTTTTCCGGGCTTAGATCTAGACCATTCAGAATCAAACGCCCACAGGCTTTCATGGGAATTTCTGTCCATTAAGTTCTTCTTTGATAGATGTTTCCTCTGATTCTTCCCTGATTTTGCATTCATAGCCCCATAGTTTCTCTGTCTAGTTGCTTATTTTTATGCTATATTCCTTCATTTTTACTCTACCTTATCTAAATTTCTTCCTGAACTAAATTACTACACTCTACCTTCCTTAATTTTTATAGACAGCAGAGAGAGAGAGAGAGAGAGAGAGAGAACACCTAATTTTTAGAGAAATCCAATGCTGCAGTCTTGTGGTAGTTCACCTCCTAACCTATGCACCCAAGAATAAAATACCGTTGCCCTCATTTTTCATTCCTTATTGGCATGCCTACACTCACAACACCCCTTAATCCTTTTGCTAAGTCCTAGGGTTATTTTTTTTTCCTTTTTTTGTCCCTTTCTTTATCTCTGTTCAGTGGCGCCATCTGTGGTGGACCAGCCCCCACATTTATTTACCCCAGGGACTCTTGAGGAATGAGGAATAAGAGACTTAGTTAGATATAAAGGGGAGAGAAACAGAGAGAAAACACAGGATAGACTTGAGTGGGCCTGGGTCCTGATCCACCAGCCCAGAACGTTATTCCAAAGGTCTATGTATAATAATGCCAAGGGGCAGAGCAAAAGACCTCCCCCTTTCTAGTTACAGTCAAGTGTAGACCCTTACAAACTCCCATACTCAGGCCTGTGGTCCAATCAACCTCTTATGCAGTCCTGCTGGGTACAGCCACTAGGAAACCTCAGGGGCTACAAGAGTGTAATACATGGAGTAAAGTAAAAACATAAAGGTTTTAAAAATAAAGCATTGCTAAAAGCATAATTTTAAAGGAGGGGGGATTGCACGGAAAGCTGAAATGTTAGGGTTGGCTTCCTTGGTTCTCTAAAATTAAGAGTCTGTCAGGTGGACATGGGAGTTGTCATTTGAACTTGAGGACTCTTCTCCTTCCTATAATTTATACTTGTACTGAACCTGAACTGGAGAGATATCCGATGTCCACAGAGTTCCCTTCCAGTTAGTAGCTTCCTTTCCTTGCGTACCAGTACCCTCTGCCTCCACACTGACCTTTATCATCTGTGGACCAGACAGGTTCACCACGCCCCTGAGACTCCTTGTTTTAAATGCTCTGTAGTGGCCAGTGTTTTAGTGAGGGGATAACAGTCCAATGTACTGGAATTCAAGGAAGCAAACACAACACAGATCTCTACAGGTAACCCAGTCTCCATCCTTTCAAATCTACTCACATTTAACACAGTCCAGGAGAAACAAGACTATTTCCAGAGCTGCTATGGTCAAAGCCTATACCCAGGCAGCCCTGACAAGCTAGGCTCAGCAACCTGTTCTCAATAGGCCAATTCAACAGACAATTCCTAGTGATAAGCAGAAAACAGAGATGTATTCAATGTGGATAAATTGGAAAGAGGAACTGTGCAGTCCAGTGATCCCCAAGTCTATCTTTGGGTTTAGGTTTAAACAGAAGTTAAGAGTGATGTAAAACTAAGCAGTCCTGGTCAAGCTCTGGTCCTGCCCATGTCCATCACTATCTCAACTCGAGTCTTTCCTACAAGGTGGTCTGGTGAGTTTTCAGAGCCATGCAAAACCTCTCTCCAGAAGACAAGCTTTCCTTCTGGCTGGCACTAGGGCCCAGCCTTTGCTGTCTTCCATCAAGAGACTCTTGGAGAAATTCCAATTGTTTGGGGTTCGTTATTTCAATGGTCTTATAGCTAAAGGAGGGCACCCATGTTTCTAGAACATCTTATTCCTACCAGGATGGCTACACTTTGGAAGCCTGAAATACTGTTAACTCTCCACAAGGTGGCTCCATTATCAAGTGCAACAATTTTCAAAGCTGGACACTTTCTAACCATTTGTAAAAGTTGGTACCTTGGGGCGTGTTAAACTTATATAGTCCTTAGATTTTTTAACATCCTTATCAACAACTGCTTTTCTCTTTATCATGTATATAGTAAGGTATATTTTTCAAAGATTTGTTTTATTTTTAACTCTGTATATATGGGGGGATTCTTCTGCTGTTTAGCTAAGTGATCTTGAACAAACTATTTTGAGTCTCAGCTGCTTTATCTATGGGATGAACATAGTCATCACTAACCCACAGATAGTGAAATAAGTGAAATATCATAAGCAGAGGTCCATATAGAAGCGCTCATGAAATGTTGGCCACACCCAATATTCCATTCCATGCTCTGAAAAAAAAAAAAAGATAAAGCTTCATAAGGTGGTTGCTCTCACACTGCAACTCTAATGCCATTTTCTAAATCTGAGAAGTCTGACCTGTTTCTCAGTCGCCATGACAGGTTCCATCCACATATCACAAGACATGACATCAGCCACTAAAATACGTTAACTGAACACCTACAGTACTGAAGCCAAGCTTACCCTTCAAAGGATTAAGAAAGGGGGGGACACCCCCCCACCCACCCCTTCTTTAAACAATATACAATAGACGTTTTAATTGTAACATTTCATGTTGTTTCCTGTTAAAATGTTTTAGACGCACGCAGGCTGTTTTAAAATGGCATCATTAATACCACTTATAATAATAAATCATAATCCAGAGCTGGTGAGATGGCTCCACAGCAAAGGTGCTGCCATGGCGACGATGGCCTGGGTTTCATCATCTGGTCCCACATGGCGTAAGGAAAAACGACTCTCACAGCTTCTCTCCCTCCATGCCTGTGCCTCCAGCTCTTGAGGATCCAAAGCCCTCTTCTGGACTCCATGGCCTCTTCGTCAGCTCCCGCCTCCAGTTCCTGTCCTGACTTCATTTGATGATGAACTGTGATCTGAAGTGTAAGCTGAATAAACCCTTTCCTCCCCAACTTGCTTTTGGTCATGGCGTTTCATCATAGCAATAGAAACCCTAATGAAGACGTCGAGGAAGGTAGACATGAGCTCACTGAGACTCTCTTAGGCCCTCTGCACCTAAGAATGAGGTCTTTTAGGAGTGTTTAGTCCACCTGAGTTCACTCTATTCCTCTGCCAGCATACCACCTACCTGTTGACAGTAGCAAACCTACAACCTCGTCCATCCTTTCTGCTTGGAGGCCTCCTTCAGGAGCTTTTATGAAAGCCTACATACAGACCCACCTCTTTATGATAGTTTCCATACAAACCTGCCTCAAAAGAGAAGAGTCCTCCCAGGTCTCTGGAAATGGGAAGTTAGCCTTTCAGACTTAACATTAACACTGAGCAGACAGACCAAACATCACACAGACTGTTGGGGATCACCAAGGTAAGGTTAGGTAGAAGGAGGGTGTTTTCAGTTACAGTTCCTGTTTTATTACAGAGGACTCCCATGTTCCAGGATAGAGTCATGTAAACCAAGGGCTTCCTGGGTTTGGTGAGAAGGTAGAGAGGAAGAATACAAATGTGGCCGTGTGGAAACCTACTGCTTCTGTTTCGCTGCTAAACAGTCCCTGGGATGGGCCTCTCATTGTCCACTGTAATCAACGCTGAAGGGCAAAGAAGGATGGAAGGGAAGAACAGAGGAAATAAGAGGGGAGAAGAGACTGAGGAGAGATGAAAATGTGAGGATAATTGTAAGGTAAGGAGAGAGAAGTTGGATGGAATACGGAGAATCAGATGATCAATTAAAGACTGAACATTTATAAATTTGACAGCCAGCCAGCCATTTTTTTCTTATTTTTAAGGCGGTCTGACTGTGAAGTGCAGGCTGGCCTCAGCCTCACTCCAGAGCCTCTTGCCTCTGTGTCCTGAGTGTTAGCGCTGCACTCCTGTCGTCCCCCCCCCCTCCCATGCCTGTCTTAATGTGTTCATGAAGCACTCATGTGCGAGGCGCTTAGACTCCATGGAAAGCAGTGAGATGGACAAGTGCATTGTCTTAAGGAGTAGATAAGTTATCCAGGCGGTGGTGGCGCACGCCTTTAATCCCAGCACTCGGGAGGCAGAGGCAGGCAGATCTCTGTGAGTTCAAGGCCAGCCTCGGCTACCAAGTGAGTCCCAGGAAAGGTGCAAAGCTACAAAGGAGCAGGTAAGTTGAGTGAAACAACATCTACTAAAGACAGAAAGCCAGGTTGCAAACGCATTCCTAGTTCCTTCCATTGTTACAGCTTCTCCATAAATTCTATCCATAAACCCAAGTAAGTAGACACAAACTATGCTAGACTCCTAAAATGCACCATTATCTCAAAAGCCAATTTAATTTTATTTGTTCTTTGGCTTGTATAATTGGGCTAATATTTTTTGCATTACTGCATGTCTACATAGTTTTAAAGAGCTGATAAAAAGCTCTATTTGTCCGTTTCTATATAGCCTACTCAATCAGCTTATTTTTTTTTAATTCCTTAAAAATGTAGCAGTAGAAAAGCCAGAGTCAAAACTGGTTTCTGTTTTAAGTTGATGATTGGAATAGATGCAAGACAAGAATAATTTGAAATTAAACACTGAATGTTGGATATAACATGAAGTGGATGAGCTGACAATCTACTTTAAAAAAAAATCCAATGCTCACATGTACTAAAGCATTTAAGTCAGTAACAGAGGTGAACTTGAGGTCAAGGCTGTCAAATAATTTCTAAATAGTTTCCAGATTAATTCTTTGCCTTTGGTGCCAAGAAGGCTAATCATCTTTGTTTACTTTTAAATTATCAACTGCAGGTGTGACAGTCAAAATACTTGACAACCAGTATGGCTTGGACCATGACACTGGCCTTAGACCCTCAGATATGTTTTGTGATGCATTCTGGATGAAGAAATTGTCACCCTAATCATGGGGAAACTGGTATGTAGATAAGATGGAATGCAGCCTCCTTCCTGATGCATTAAAAATTAAGATTTGGGAGAAACAGCATGACCAACTGCATCTACAGATAAAAGAGCTGCCATGAATGAGGACATCCTTGCTGACCACAGCTTCCACATCTGGAGAACTTCTCCACACCGCTATAATCCTGTGTTGGTGTTCTGATTGTCCTTGCACTGAAGAGGTGAAGAGGGTCCAGTTTGAAAGAAATGTGTTTGTTTACTATACAACAGTATATCAAGAATCATAATTGGAGACCTCTTCCCCAGCACCCCGGGAGGTGGGCAGAATGTGGGCTCTTGGGTGCTGGCTTCTCCGGTGTCAGAACGTGCCTGTGCTTTGGATTGCTCTTCTCCCAAACACAGGTTCTTCAGAGGCAGGGCTGCTGCGGCAATGGGGAATGGAAGGAGAGGTTGCCTCCATGTTATGTGCTGAAGCAGCTCTCAGCACTGACCTACCTAATATTGACAGTAAAGGAACAGTGCATCTCTTGGCCTGGAGGAGAGTTTAGACGGCAGAGTGATGAAGGAGCGGATCATCCCTATAGAGAAACCACCTAGACTGGCAGAAGTCCCAGCAAGGGCAAGGAATGCCCATAGTGAGCAGTAGCAGATGGGGATGGCAGGTATCTGTTAGAGCCTTAATATCATCCATAACCACGAGGATTATATTTCATCTCATCCCCCTGGCAAGTTTCTCTGGGTAGAGACTACCAACAAGAGGAAGCCTAGATCCAAGATGGTTGTGAGCCCCTGCCCGCACAGTAATGGAGACTGACCCTACGGGCACGTTAAACAAGTGCCCTACCACTTGATCTATATCCCCAGGCAGTTTTTACTTTTAATTTTTGAGACGGGCCTCACTAAGTTGCTCAGGCTGGCCTTTGCTCCTCCTGCCTGGGTTTCCTAAGCCACAGAGATCACAGATCTGTGCGGCCAGACCTTACAGTGCGGCCGTGGACACAAAGCAAATAGATCAAGTATTACAAAAGGGGCACTGTGGTGGGTGCTGTGATAGTCTGTCCACACACACCCTTCCGGACCAACACATTGATGTCCTCCACTGCCACAATTATTACTTATTGGTGATGCTAAGCAAATCCCTCTCCAAGAGTCGTCACCCATTGAAATAAATGTCTTGCTTTATGCCTACTCCCCATGTGAAACTCGTATCCAGTGAGTGGTCAATGTAAGGGTATGCAAATAACTTGGGGCAATTCAGGAAGACCACTCCAGATCCCCATGGGAGTAGCTGAGGTCCTTTATCAGCAATGTCATCACAGTTCAACTCACATTAGCAAACTGGCTGCTTACACTCTCCATTTTTGTTCTTTGATTCCACATTGAGCCTCCTACATGCAGAGAAATCCGCTTCTGTATGTTTTTCCTAGGAAACATGACATAAGGTACTTTTAATAGGTATTTTTAAAATCTGTGTAAAAGTATATTGTGACTTAATTTATCAAAAATATGCTATAATTATGTTAAATATCAAACTTCATGAAAACAAATACCATATTTGGAAACAGAATAATATTTGGTAATTAATTTTGTGATGGTGTTTATTTTTAAGTAATTAGTATCTGCTTAGCCAAATTTAAAAAATAACTTTTTGTTCTCTTCAGAACATTTGAGGTTCATAAAAGTAAGCATCAGTGGTGATAAACTTTCACTTTTGTAGCTGAGTTTTTCTGTCCCGCAGCCACTCTCAAATGAACACAGTGAGACTTATACCAATTACAAATGCTCAGCCAATAGCTCAGGCTTGTTACTAACTAGCTCTTATATTTTAAATTAACCATATTCCTTGTTTATGCTCTACCACATGATGGTACCTTTATTAACATGACACATTCATCTCCTGCTCCCTCTGCATCTGGCTGGCAACTCCAGATTTCGCCCTTCTTCTCAGAATTCTCCTAGTCTGGCTCTCCCACCTAAGTTTATCCTGCTCAGCTATTAGCCAGTCAGCTTCTTTATTAAACCAATCACACAGACAAATCTTCACAGTGTACAAAAGGATTATTCCACAATATTTCCCCCTTTTGTCTAATTAAAAAGGGAGGTTTTAATTTTAACATAGTAAAATTGTATATAACAAAAACAACTATTAAGAATTATACTTACAATATCCAGTCCACTTGTATTTGGAAAATTTAGAGAAAATAATCTATTATCTTATCTTTGTGACTCTAAAGTTTTATACTTAATTTACCTTTTATCATAACTAAGAAAAACATTAACTACAACTATCTAGTCTTCAACTCCAGCAAAGACCTCAGAAGGGTGAAATGTTACCTAATGACAGAGACATCTGGCTGCCTGGACAGTCACTCTGGGTTCTTCTGTAATGTTGGGGCATCCAACTTTGGCTTACAGGCTATAGGGAAAAGGGGCCAGCCAAAGAAACCCATTCTCGCTCCGAAACCAGAGCTAATCAAAGAAACCCACCCTTACCCTGAAACTAGGGGTAGTGAAAGAAATATACCCTGGATCGGAGACCTGAGCCAGTGAAAGAAACAATGAAAGAAACACAGTTGCCCCTAACCAACTCACCAATGAAACCAACCAATCCCTGAGCAGGCAATCAGCCAATTCCTGAGCAGGTAACCAACCAATCCCTGAGCAGACAACCAACCAATCCCTGAGCAGGAAACCAACCAATCTCTGAGCAGGAAATCAACCAATCCCTGAGCAGGAAACCAACCAATTTCTGAGCACCCTCACCCTGAACTCAGAGCCAGTGAAAGAAACACAGCCTGGATCTGAGACCTGAGTCAGCGAAAGAAACACTTTAGTCCCAACCCAGAACCAAAGAAACACACTCTGACCCCAAAACCAGAACCAAAGAAACACACTTTGTCCCTAGAACCAGAGCCAGTGACAGAAATACACCCTGGCCCTAAGATTAGAGCCAAAAAGCTAAAAAGGGCCAATGAAAGTAACACAGTATGGTCCTGAAATCAGAGCTAGCTCTGCCCCAGATCAATAAAACCAACCAATCCCTATGCAGAAAATCTTCTCCCTGGAGAAACCCCACCCCTAAAAAGCCCTATATAAGCCCCTCTGCCTGTCCAGTTGTTGGCCGTTCTTTCCCACCCTGGCAGAGGCAACCACTCTCCAGAACTCCTCCTTCCCAAATAAATCTTCCTCAAAAGTCTTGGGTGAAGATCACCAACGCAGAACAGAACAACCTTGCTTGAGACATTCCCTTAGAGGTTTGAGCAGAAAAACCCTTGCTGAAATGCTCCTGTAGCCAGGCTGAGCAAGGCAGAAAGTAACAACTTTCTGCCTGAACCGGAGGAGATTGCTACATTTCTGCAGGGGTTTCCCCTTTAGCAGAGTGAAGCAGAAGAAGGAACGTCTTGGACTAGAGAGAAGCAGCAGCAGATATCTGCTGGGAATCCCTTGGGTGGGGTGGCAGAGCAAAGCTCAGCTTTAACGGCTCTCTCCTAGGAGAGGAGCAGGACCCAGACTCTGTATATTTCCCCTCTTTATGTGGCTATTTTCTTTTATATTACATTACACTCTTTTTAAGGACTTTTTATTTATTTATTTATTTATTTATTTATTTATTTATTTATTTATTTATTTATTTGGTTTTTCGAGACAGGGTTTCTCTGTGTAGCTTTGTGCTTTCCTGGAACTCGCTTTGGAGACTAGGCTGGCCTCGAACTCACAGAGATCCGCCTGCCTCTGCCTCCCGAGTGCTGGGATTAAAGGTGTGTGCCACCACTGCCCCGCAGGACTTTATTATTTTATGATGGTCTATACCTTCTCTTTTCTCTCTCAAGCCTACATATATTTTTAAACACACTATAACCTGTTTAGAGGTTTTCTTTTCTTTCAATCTGATCTATCTTTATGGTGTGTCTGTAACCTTTTTGTCTGCATGAACAAAACCCTAAACCTGCCACACAACACAGCTGGGAGAAGCCTTTCTGTACGGCGGCCTGTGTGAGAGACTGGGGGAACCGCCACTGACTTAGCTCACCGTGTACTGGCAGTTGCCAGATGTGTTTCTGTTCTGCAGCCAGTATGAGAGACACAAGACTAGGAAGTTGTCCCTGGCTCTGTTTTTGTGTGTTTAGAACCTTTTTTTTTTTTTTTTGTAAAGCTTCCTCAGGCTTTATGTGGGTGTATGTGGCCTTGGACATTGGGTGCCATTTGTAGGTGGAGTTTTCCTGTCCTGCAGCTGCTCTCAAATAAATACTCTGAGGCTTATATTAATTACAATGCTCAGTCAATAGCTCAGGCTTGTTACTAACTAGCTCTTACATTTTAAATTAACTCATATTCCTTATTTATGCTCTACTACATGGTGGTACCTTTATTAACATGGCACATTCATCTCCTGCTCCCTCTGCATCTGGCTAACAACTCTAGACTCTGCCCTTTTTCTTCCCAGAATTTTCCTAGTCTGGATCTCCCACCTAAGTTTATTATATTCAGCTATTAGCCAGTCAGCTTTGTTATTAAACCAATTATACAGACAAATCTCCACAGTATACAAAAAGATTATTCCACAGCACACTTTGCCATGTTTTAAACTTATCTCCTACAAACTTTTACATTAATTGTGTAGTCATGATATACATTTTCCATCCGGACGTTGGCTATTTTCAACTTCATGTTTTCGATAGTTTGGCTTAGTTTTCTTTTTTAAAGATTTGTTTTATTGTATGTGCCTGCTTGTCTGTCTATGCACCACATGCATTCAGGTGACCCCAGAGTCCAGAAGAGACTTTTGGGTCCCCCAGAACTGGAGTTACAGTTGCTTGTGAGGTTCTTTTCTCATATAATTATTTTGAGGTCATTGTCATAAACCAGTAGATCACGGATATGTAAGTTTATCTCTTGGCTCCGTGCTACTGAGGGAATATGTTTACTCTTTTTTTCCATTACCAAACTGGGTTAGTATAATACTGAAGTAAGCTTTAAAACTAAGAGATGGAAGCTTCTGGTGTTGCTATCTCAAGATCGTTTTCCAGGCCTTCTGTATTTCTGTGTAGATTTTGGAACTGGCTTTTCAGTTGTTGTAAGATATCCAGGTGAGACTTTAGTAGATCTTAACTGCTTCTGTCAATCAGTTTAAGTCCATTGCCATCATACTACTTGTAAATCTTAGTGAATCCGTTGCCTTATTTCAAGTGTCTCTTCATTGGTTTCAACAATGTTTTACAATTTTCAGGTAGAAGTTTAAATTTTTTTCAGTTGTATTTGGTCCTTATTAGTTTGCTCATTTTTGATGCTATTATAAATGTGATTATCCCTGAATTTGCTTTTGACTTTTTGTTTGACAGTGTGTGGCAATCCAACTAACCTCTATGTTGATCTTTTACCTGGCAAACTTGCAGAAGCTGGTAATCAGTTCTAGTAGCTTTAAAAAGAAAGAGGATTTACTGGTTTTTATTTTACACATAATGCATGAATTTTTATTTTACACGTATGCCTGTGTGCCACATTCATGCCTGGTCCCTAGGGAAGACAGAATAGGGCACCAGATCCATGTGAGGGTTAGAACCAAAACCACATCCTGTCCTCTGTAAAAACAAATGCTCTTCACCACTGAGCCATCTTCTAGCCCCTAGAATGGCTTTTAAATGAATTTCTTAGGTGGGTTGTTGTTGGTTTTTAAGACAGAGTCTTACTATGCAACCCTGGCTGGCCTGGAACTCACTATCTGGACCAGGCTGGCCTCAAGCTCACAGAGATTCACCTATCTCTGCCTCCCCAATGCTGGAATCAAAGGTGTGTGCTACCACACCCAGGTTTTGTTGTTGTGGAGGGTTTTTTTTGTGGAGTTTTTTGTTTGTTTGTTTTGTTTTTGTATAAGATAATGCCATCTACAAACAAAAATAGTTTGAATTTTTTCTCTCTGCCCAGAGTATCTTTTATTTAGTTTCTCTTATTTAAATGCGCTCTCTGCTGCTTCCAGTGCTTTTGGTAGCAGCAATGAAAGCAGACATTCTTGTCTTGTCCATAGCCTCAGAGTCCTAAGCACAGTTTTCCTCCGTTGAGGGCAGCACTGGGTGGTTAGCACGTGTCTCTTTCCAGTGTATAAATGCTCTTGTTTTCCCACTGTTTTCACATCTGGAGAATTCAATAGTTTGGGTAGTATAATTTTCTTATTCATGCGCTTAGGTGATTATGCATTTTGTCATACATTCTAATAATACAATTGCCATATTTTTGAATGTTAATCTAACTGCACATTCCTGTGATACGTGGTGTATAATAGAGGTAATCATGAGTCATAGTGTATTGTTGAGGTCCCTGGCTTCCACTTGGATTTTGAACATTTCTCCATGTTCTTCCAGTCTCCATTGTTAGTTACACGCCTGTTTATAATTGCTAATCTCTCTGCTGGATTAACCCTCTTTGCAC